CCGTTATCTCTACACTTCTTTTAAGACCTAGGATGTAAGGTTTAAGGGCCTGTCAGCCTTTAGCCCCATCAGTTTTCTAGTCTTTTTTTTCCCGAGTGATTGTGATTTTTCAAGTTCCTGGCTTCCTTTTGTCACTTGATTTCCTCCTATTTGTGATGTGCTTTTTGTTTTTTCTATTTTGAAGACAGGTAGCAAATATTTGTTCAAGTCTCTGACTTTTTCATGCCACTCTTGGTGATCATCCCTAATTGCTATTGAGAAAGTGGGAAGCACTGCAGCCCGTTATTAGGAACAATGTATACCTTGACGTTAGGGCCCTTGTGGTACCGTGGTAGCGTCCCTACCCCTGGACCGGAGGCCCAGATTCACATCCCACCTGCTCCAGAGGTGTGTAACAACAGCTCTGAACACGTTCATTAGAAAAATGGGTTAAATTATAAAAAAAGTTTAAAAATTTATACCTTGATGTTAGGGCTCTTTTGGTGTGGTGACCGTGTCCCTGGGTTCAAGTCCCACCTGCTCCAGAGGTGTGTATTAACACGTGAACATATTCTAACCCTTGACTTACCTTTAATTTAAATGCATTTTTGTGTGTGTTAAGGAGGAGGAAAGTTGTTGTAGTTTCATTGTTAGAGTTGTTCTTGTTAGCTTGGTGTGGAGAAGTCTGGAGGCCTGTTCCTATATAAACATTTTAATGAGGTTTTGCATCTCCTGAAGTGAAGAGATGGTGTTAGTAGTTGGAGAAAGCTGCTATTGCCTTGCAAAAAGTTTCAGGAATACACAGGGGCACAGAAAAATCCAAAAGTGTGTATCTATGTGAGTGAGTGAGAGAGGAACCCAGAGTGTTAAACCCTTTAGTAAGACATCCTGTGAGATAGCTGAAAACTGATATTTGTGAACTTATGTTTGCATTGAAGGTTAAGTATTAGTGAATTTCATTTGCTCATTGTTTTAGATATCTTGGGAAGAGATACCATTTGAAAGATGAGCATTTACAGTCATAGAGATGTACGGCACAGAAACAGACCCTTCAGTCCAACCCTCATGCCAACCAAATATCCTAGATAAATCTAATCCTATTTGCCAGCATTTGGCCCATATCCCTCTAAACCCTTCCTATTCATATACCCATCCATTTAAATGTTGTAATTGTACCAGCCTCCACCACTTCCTCTGGCAGCTCATTCCATACATGCACCACCAATAAGCATTTATTGAATATATGGGAATTCTTCAGAGGGAGACTGGCTGCAGCTGCACCAGCCTGAGGAAGAAGACTGGAGTGGATTTTATGATAAATCTCAAATAAAAACCAAAAGATGCTGTAAGTCAGAAGCAAGAACAGAAATTGCTGGAAAAGCTCAGTAGGTCTGGCAGCATTTGTAGAGAGAAATCAGAGTTAAATTTTAGATCAAGTGACCCTTCCTCAGAACTGTTTACGATAAATTTTCGATGGGTTTTGATGTTTGTGAAGATATTGCTGGGATAAAAGGAATGGTGTGGGTTTAAATTCTTTTCTGGTCTTTGTAATGAAATCTTTGCTGCCGGGCAGAGCAAGAGGACTCGGCAGACTATGCAGGAGTCTCCTGTTAATAGTCCACTATAAAACAAATATACTGCTTTGGATACTCTTGAGTGGAATAGTCTGTTGGGAGAAAGCAGCAACCGCTAAATTTGTTGCAACATGGTTTGCTCTGCTACTTAGAGGAAGAGTAAAGAATATGGGAATGCACTAATTATAAGGGATTCAGTTGTAAGGGAAATAGACAGGGGTTTCTGTGACTGCAAATCACACTCTAGGATGGTATGTTGCCTCACTAGTGTTATGGTCAATGATGTCCCAGAGCAGCGACAAGGCACCCTGGAGGGAGAGACTGAACAGCTAATGTTCTTGGTACACATTGGCACAGATTTTGTAGGTCTAAAACGAAAAGAACAAAGTCCTGAAAGTAGAATATAGGGAGTTCAGAAGTAAGTTGAAAAATAGGACTTCAAAGACTGTGATCTCAGGATTACTATCAGTTCTACGTACTAGTCAGAGTAGAAATAGCAGGATACATCAGATGAATATATGGCTAAAGAAATGGTGCAAGGAGAGGGTTTCAGATTACTGGGGCAGGAGGGACCAGTACAAACTGGATGGAAAACAATCTGGATAGTACCGGCACTGATGCCTTGGGGAGTATTGGCTAAAGCGGTTGGGGACGCTTTTAACTAAAATGGCACAGGGATGAGAACCTATACAAGAGCCAGAGGAAGAGGAATCATGGACAAGAGCAAAAGATAGAAGAATAAATTTAAAAAAAAATTATAGGCAGAGAAATCAAGGGCTAGGATCAAACAAGGCCTCAGTGAAAAATAATGAGAACAGGACACATTTTTAAAAAAGAACGGGCCTTCAACTAGAGAACAGGCCATCTTAGAGTGAATATTGTGCAATGAGAAAAGAAAAATTGGCAATCTGGTAGCATACGATCCTTGGGGATGAGTGACCATAATATGTCGGAATTCTTCATCAAGATGTAAATTGACTAGGGTCCTCGATGTAAATAGAGGAAACCATGATGGTATGAAGCCGGAGTTGACTATGATGGATTGGGGAATGTTACTTAAAGGGTGGAAAGACAGTGGAAAACATTCAAAGAACACGTGGGTGAACTGCAACATTTGTTCATTCCTTCCCAGTGCAAAAGTAAATCGGGAAAGGTAACAAAAAGTGGCTTACAAGGGAAATTGGAGAGAGTATTAGGCCCCAAGGAAGAGGCATACAAATTGGCCAGAACAAACAACAGACCTTAGGAGTGGGGGCAGTGTAGAATTCAAATAAGGAGGACAAAGAGATTGTTTAAGAGGGGAGGAAATAGAGTATGAGAGTAAGCTTGTGGGAAAGAGAAAAATTGACTGTGATAGTTTCTATAGCCACATAAAGACAAAACGATTGCTGAAGACAAATTTAAGTTCCTTCCAGTCGGTAATTTATGATGGGGATGAAATAAATGGCTAACCAGTTAAATACATACTTTGGTTCTTTGTCCACAAAGGAGGACACAAATAATGCACCAGAAAAGTTGGGGAACACAGGTTTAGTGAAAGGGCTGAACTGAATGAATTCAGTATCAGTAGGACAATGGTGTTAGGCAAATTGATGGGATTTGAGGATGCTAAATCCTGATGGCATGATAATCTACATCCCAGAGTACTTAAGGTAGTGGCCCTAGAAATATGGATGTATCTGGTGATCATCTTCTAAGATTCTATCGACTCTGTAACCCTTCTATTTAAAAAGTGAGGTAGAGAGAAAGCTGGAAATTATGGAATAAGTCAGCCTGATGTTGGTAGTGGGGAAAGCGCTGAAGTCTATTGTAAAAGATTTAGAAGCAGAATACTTGGAAAACAGTTGCAGTTTTGGACAGAGTCCACACGGATTTACAAAAGGCAAATCATGCTTGAGAAATCTATTAGAATTTTTTAAGGATGTAATGAGTATAGTTGATGAAGGGGAGCCAGTGGATATGGTTTATTTGGACTTTCAGAAGCCTTTGACAAATTCCCACACAAGAGATTATTTTATAAAATTAAAGGATATGGGATTGGGGAGGGGTGGGGAGGGGGCAGTTAGTGTGTTCAGGTCGATAGTAAACTAGTTGGCAGACAGGAAGCAGAGTGTGGAAATAAATGGGTCTTTTTCCAGATTGCAGAGAGTGACTAGCGGGTACTGCAGGGATTTGTGGTGATCCCAGCTGTTTGCAATATATATTACTGAATTAGATGAAGGAACTAAATGTAATCACTCCATTTGCAGATACATAAAGCTGAGTGGGAGGGTGAGCTGAGAGGTAGATGCAGAGATGGTTCAGTGTGATTTGGACAAGCTAAGTAAGTGGGGAAAATGCATGGCAGATGAAGTATCATGAGGATAAATGTGAGGTTGCACATCACTTTGGTATGAAAAATAGGAAGGCAGATTATTATCTGAATTATCTATAAATCAGAGAGGAAAGTGCAATGAAACTTGAGTGTCTTCATACACCAGTCATTGCAGCATACAGGTGCGGCAAGTGATATGTTGACCTTCAGAGTAAGAGGATTCAAGTACAGGAGCAGGGCTATCTTGCTGCAATTATCCAGAGCCTTAGTGACACCACACCTGGAATATTGTGTGCAGTTTTGGTCTTCCTATATGAGGAAGGATGTTCTGGCTCTAGAGTGTAGCAAAGGTTTACTAGACTGTTTTGTGGTATGGCAGGATTGACTGAGGAAAGGTTGAATTGCTTGCGTACTGGAGTTCAGAAGAAATTGATTAAGTTCCTGTAGCACTGGGCAGGATAAATGCTGGGACAATGTTCTTGATGGAAGGTGAGTGCAGACTAGGGGTCACAGTTTAAAGATACAGCATAAACCATTTAGGATTGAGATGAGGCAAAATTTCTTCACTTAGAGTGTAGTGAGCCTGTGGAATTTGTTACTATAGAAAGTGGTCAAGGCTAAAACATTGTATGATTTAAAGAAGAATTTGGGTGTAGCACTTGGGGCTAAAGGGATCAAAGGATATGGGAAAGCATGAACAGGCTGTTGAGTTTGATAATCAGCCACGATCATGCTGAATGGCCTATTTCTGCTCCTACATCTTACAGTCTAATTAATGAAAATTAAACAATGCACCTGAAACCCCAAACATACACCCACTTAACCATTATTAAGGCAGACAAAAGGCAAATGTTTTAACACATATATGGAGTAGGTAAGAATACGCACAATGCTGTCGTTGAATATGGTCTGAAGGATTCATGAAACCTCATCAAATGATGAAGTAGGTGACAGATATATTAATTAAGAGCTAATTGGGTGTCAACTGGTTGTATAAATGTTGGGAGCTAGTGTGGGTATGAATTTAATGGAGTGTGGTTAATTGAAATAAAACCCACACAAGAAGTCGCCGAAATGGTGATGGAGTAGGACTCTGCAGCCAGAGCTCGTGCGTTCTGTCCAACCGTCCTCAGGCAGCATTGACGATGTCCGGGGTGAAAGCCAGTCTGGACGCCCAGCCTCAGAATGGCCTCAAAGTCCCGCCCTCAATGTGGACTTGGACTCCCGGCCTCGAGGTAAAGCCCAAAGTGGTCTGTGTTGGAAGGAATGTTATTCGGAACTCTTAGTTCTGTAGCTTTCTAATTTATTGCTGAACTTTTTATTTCTTTATTTTTCTCTTTCTTTCCCCCTAAGAATTTGTACTTAAGAATATGTACCTAGTTACCTTATCTTGTAAACTTTTCACTGTACTCATGTAAGTACATGTGACACTAAAGCTAATTCTTGTAAATGTGGACTTGGACTCTGTTCAAAAATATTTATCTTCAAGTTTGTAATGTACATGGTAAATAAAAATTCTGAATGTCAGAAGTCCAGACCATAAGATGGAAAGTTGTTCTCCTCACAATCCTTTTGAGTTTTGCAATGATTAAACAATTGTCCCTTGTTTAATGGTTGATCAAGTGAACGTTGGTATTTACTTGTATGAATTTTTTCTTGAAAGGTTTTTGTGGTTTTTTTTTGACATTATTCCACATATAAAGAGTAAGGTTGAGGCTTTCTGAATGTAGAAGTTGTCCTAAAGGACTCTGCAACTCAACCAAAACCAACAACCTGTTGTCAGGCAGAATTTCCTTACTCAAAAGATTCTTGGTGCCATCCAGTCTGAAATTCTGCCTTTTACAGTTTCCAAAAACCAACATTGCACAGCTCAACACTATGAAACACTTGCTTTTCAATTTGCAAAACTCTCCTGGTTTTTCAGTTCTAGCAGTCCAAATTCCATTTCAGTTTATAGTTCCGAAAAAATGAAAAATATGTGGTCTGTCATGTATGAATAATTCTGAAAGTTTTCTTCTTCCTTTTTTAAAATTCTTTTACAGGATCTGCATCATTGACTGAGTCAGAATTTGTTGTCCATCCCTAACTGCCCTCGTGAAGGTGATAGTGAGTTTCCACCTTGAACCACTCAAGTCCATGTAGTATAGCTACACCCACAATGACATTGGAAAGGAAGTTACAGATTTTTGATCTAACAGCAACAAAGGAATAGTGCTATAACTCCAAGTCAGGATGATGTATGACTTGATGGAAATTTTGATTAAAAATTCCTCTGTTGTAAAAGAATAGGTTAATGTTAGCCCAAACATCTTATGTGCCTGGGGAATGCTCAATATTTGCTATAAGTCATTCGTAATTAACGTTTCTTTATTTCTTCAATATTATGATATCCACACCTAGTTTCTTACGAGTTATCATTCACATTGCCAAATGAGGTAAAGCATCCTGTTTGAGGCAAACTCATGCCATTTCCTGCATGCCTTAATGGAAGACCAGTCTTTTTTAAACTATGCCCCTTAGTTATGGATTCCCCCGCTAGGGAGAGAATCCGATTAGAATCTTCCATGTCTCAATAAAATTACTTTTCATTTTTCTAAACTCTAATTAGTATGGTCTCAATGAATTCCACCTTTCCTCATAAGACAATCTCTTCATCCTAAGAATCATCTTAGATGGTGGTCATGGAGTCATAGAGTCATACAGCACAGAAATAGACGCTTCAGTCCAAATCGTTCATGCCGGCCAAGTTTCCCAAACAAACCAATCCCACTCGCTTCCGTTTGGCCCATACACCCCTAAACCTTTCCTATTTTGTGTACCTATCCAAATGTTTTTTAGATGTTGTAACTCTACCTGGGTGGTATTTTAATATTTGGAAGTAGGTGTACTATTGGGCCTGTGGTAGCCCTGTTCATGAGTCACTGAGCTTTTGGGATTTTCTATGAATGTATATGAATCAAGGAGGTAATTTGTTTGACATAATTGCTACTCTGAAATGTCTGGGAATCTGTATGTTCCCTTTGACGGTATAGGAGTTAGTTTTAGTATTATGATTTGACAGTGTATTGTTGACAACAGCACTCTTGAGCACCCACTAATCAGTTTGTTTTTTGTCTATTTTTTATTTTCAAGATGTAGGCTTCTTATTGAATGACATTTCAACAGACATCTGTTACTTGCATATGAACACACAACTTAGGAACATAGCTAGGCCATTCGGTCCACCCAGCCTGTTCTGCCAATCAGTAAGATCATGACTTAGGTAAGAAAAGGGTATTAGTCTACCTCTATCTTAAAAATATTCAACGACCCTACCTCCACTGCCTTCTGAGGCAGAGTTCCAAAGTTGCACAATCCATTAAGAAAAAAGAATTTACCTCATCCCTGTGTGAAAGAACCGAGCTCAATTTTAAAATAGTTCTGGAATCATTCAAAAGAGGAAGCATCCAGCTGGTCAAGGCTATTCAAGATCTTAAACTTCAATAAAATTGTTCTTTGCTCTTCTGAACTCTAGTGAAAAGAAGCCTAACCTGCATGATCTTTTCTGAAAAGACAACCCACTCATTCTGCATATCTACCATGCAAGCCGCTTCCACTATCTCCAATGCATTTATATCCTTTGTTGAAGATCAAACTGCAGAGAGTATTTGAGATATGGTCTCACCAAAGCCCTATATAACTGAAGCATATCCTTTTATGTTTGACTCTCTTGTAATAAGGAATACCATTCCATTTACCTCCTTAATAAATTGCTGTAACTGTGTGCTTTTTGTGACTGATGCACGAGAATACCCAGGTCGTTCTACACCTTGAAATCCTGAAGTTGTTCTTTTAAATAATACTCTACTTTTTCATACTTCCTGCTGAAGTGAACAACTTCAGATGTTCTCACATTATCTGCCAGACTTTTGCCACTCACTTAACCTACAAATATCAACCTGTATCCTTGTTAGGTTGGCTTCACACTATACTTTCTGACCTTTCTTTGTATCTATAAATTTTACCACGATGCCTTCAATCCTTTCATCTGAGTCATTGACATGAATTATAAAGTGTTCTATGGGACCTAACTCATTATATCCTACAAATCTGAAAAAGACCGATTTATTGATTGTCTCTGATTTTTTGGATGCCAGAAAACAATCCTCCAAGTATGCTCCCTTCGACATCATGACCTCTGAGTTTATGAAGTAGCTATTTATTTGGAATCTTGTCTAAGGCCTTATGGAAATCGAAGTACAGTATATCATTAAGCACCTCTTTACCTGCTACCCCCTCCCTTCTCCTTCCAAATGCCCATGGTTGATTGGTCATGCTGAAAGAGTGTCGGCTTCCTTTTAATGCCTGGTACATCGCACCTGAGCTCATCTGGGTCACCAGATAATAATCAGTGACAGAAAACATTATTCCTATCTGCGCCCACTAAACTGAGAAGAGCCAAAGCCAATTGTAGCTCCTCGCCTATTACCTCGTGGAGAATAGGTTTAAAATAGTAAGGATCACATTTAAATCATGTGTTGGACAGCAAACATGTTGATTGACACATTTGGGGCAATATTAAGAAGATTATTAATTATGTAATGGGGAATCATAGACCAGATGTTCCCACTTGATGGGGTGGGCTGGACAAGCAGGTGCAAGGAGCACCTATTTCAGGGGTCCTGCTGCACTGGGTGGCAGCAGTGTAGAGAGAGGGGACAAGATGCCGGACCAGGAAGGAAGCAAAAAGAAACCATTGAAACAGCCTTAAAAATCAAACAAGGAAATGGATGAGAATAATTTTGCTTTCAAACAGAAGAAGGAGATCAGGCAGAAAAAAACTTGAAGGAGATGAAAGCAAAAGCTGCAAGCAAAGGACCAGTCCGTTCTGAAAGCACTGCAAAGTCAGGCAGGAAGTAACAAGGAACACTGGAATGTCTAAACTAAACTCTGCTGATGTTGCATCACTTCTGTATCTCCAGATGACAGAGGATTAATATGCAGTCTTCTTTTGTTATCTTCTGTTTATATTTCTGCCTTACCTGTAAATTGTATATTTGTTTAAAATGCCAATAAATTATTTTTTCCTGTTTTCCAAATTAAACGGCAAAACTGGTAATCCCTCTATCTCTGTGCCTGACTACCTGGATTCAAATCCATGTCGTGGGCTGTCTCATAACACATCTGAACAGGTTGATTTTCGAGCTCTTGTGGTGCAATGCTGGTATTCCTACCTAGAGCCAGGAGGCCCAGGTTCAAGTCCCACCTGTTCCAGAAGTGTGTCATGACATCTTTGAGCAGGTTGATTAGAAAATAGGTTTACAAAAAGGGGGCAATAATTATTGAATAGACACAAGTAAGTCCAATAGTAAATTAAGGATAAACTAATTTATCCAGAGTGTATATTTACCTGGAAAGAATTGTTGAGGAAATTAACATAAATCCATTTTAAAGGGAGCTGGATAACTACAAAGTAAAGGGAAAAAAAAAATCAAAAGATATGGTGATGGTGAACTGTCTCTTCTCAAACCTTCCTTAGGTTGAGAGACCCTGGTGTGTTTCTCTACTGTTCACGTTTAGAAATGATGAATTGTTAGAAATTTGTGTTTGCTGTGGTAGGATGTTGAAATAATTTGTAAATGCACTCATTCCCACTAGGGGGTGCCATGCCCTTAGTAATTCAGTTCAGCAATGTAACACAATGAAACATTTTTTTAAAAGAAGGAATATACAGTATGTTGCATAATGTAAGTATGGGATATAATATGGTAATATCCTGTGCCATCAGTGATAGTTTTTTTTCATATCAGTTTCAATCATTAAGAAGCTTCTAAAAATTAAAACAAGCTTAATTATTAAAATACAAAAGAACAGTTGAAAAATTATTTATTTTACAGGCAAGAAAGCTCATTTCAGTAACTTCATATAATTTCAACTATTATAAAATTTCTGACTTCGGTGATAAAGCTTTGATATAGATTTTATTGTTGTTCATTGTGCTTTTTCTAGTTGAATGCTAGTCGATCCAGAACACCCAAGTATATCTGCTGGCTAGGATTTACAAAGATGGCACACCCCATCCAATGGGCACGGTACAGATGGCAGAGATTGCTGTCCACAGATGGAAGCAATAATGGGTACACTCTATCATCATTCCCAGGATGGTTCAAAACTTCCCAACCACACAAAACTGGATGCAAACATCGATTAGTAATTCCTTGCCTTGGTGGATTTACTGAAGAATATGAAAAGGTTTTCAAGAATTACATGACCAATAGGATTCAAACAACCAAATATACCTTGCTGAACTTTATTCCAAGGAATTTGTTTGAACAGTTTCACAGGTACTGTCTGTTAATTGGAAGATCATTTAACAATCTTAAGTTACCAAAGATATGTAGGAGGACACCTCAGTTATGATTATTGTTTCTCATAGTACTTTTGTGTACAGGAGTGCAAACAGAATCTCAACAAATTCTGGAGGCTGAATATTGCTCTATCTGATCTGTACTTGTTTTACATTGTTCCAGGCACATACTTGTTTTGGGTAACACTATATTTTGGCAGAGGGATGGGGAATGTTCCACCTTGGAGCTATTAGCAACAATTGTGCTAGACTGCTGATCCCACTGGACTCTTGTTTTTCGTTAGCTGGATCTTGCAACTACCAAGTTGAATCCTTTAGAGTTGTAAGACCAGTCAGTGTTCTGTCGGTCTCCTGGACTGCTAACGAGAAGGTTTTGAGCCAGAAGATACGTGGAATTTTGGAGATTATGGTAGTCATGATAGGATATCTTGAATTGATCTTTGTGAATTTCAAAGCAGGTGATGGTTTTCAGGATCTGATGCACAACCAGGGTTGTCTTAAACCCCATCGTTAACCTGAAGAGAATTTTTGATGTAATAACGTTTCCTGCAGCCTTAAAAATCAAAATATGACATCAAACCATTTTTGAGAGATTAAATTGGATGGCTAAAAGCTTCGTCAAAGAGGCAGAATTTAAGGAAGAATGTCTTAAAGGAGAAAAGTGAGGTAACATAGTTGAGAATTATAGGGAGGGAACATCAGAGCTTTGGGTCCTAAACAACTAAGAGCATGGCCACCAATGGTAGAACACTTGAAACCAAAACATTCAAGAGGCCAGAATTAGAAGAATGCAAATTTCAGAAGATTGATGGTCTGTAGGAATATACAGAAAGATGGGAGAGTCAGGGCATGGAAGAATGTAAAAGCAAGGGTAAGAATTTTAAATTCAAGTTGCTTGACAGGTGCCAATGTCAGTCAGTGTGGAGCATATGGATGAAAGGTAAATACCTAGGGTACAAGAAAAGGCTTAGGCATTGATGAAATCAGAAGGCCCTTTCCTAAGGACTGGCTTGAAGAATGAGGTGTCTAAGTAATTTTCATGTCTGACTTGTTGCGATATCTGCAGCTCTGCCTCCCACTCAGTTCTGAGCTGAAAGTTCTGCAGCTGAGAATACCAAAAGCGGGTGTGGTGGCCTTGATCTCATTAGCGGCCAGAAGTTCCCACCGCACATCACCTGCCCTGCCATCTCTAATGTATGTTAATTAATTAATAATTGCTACTTGATTTATAATTAAAACAACCACCACTTCCCAATACATTTAGTTCTGCCAATCAACTTTACAATGCTTATAAAACAGTACAATGGTTATAAAAACCCACAGTTTTTAATAGTACTAATTTTTGATTTAACTGCTGCTTCTGCTGTAGAAAACTGGAAATCAGGTGTTGGAGGCTGAGAAAAAGTAGAAGACAAAAACCATATCTTCCCTGCCCGTCACTGAACTCTCCACAGAATCCCTACAGTGTAAAAGAGGCCATTTGGCCCAACAAGTCCACGCTGACCTTCTGAAGAGCATCCCACCCAGACCCAACCCCCTACCTTATCCCTGTAACCTGCATTTCCCATGGCTAATGCACTTAACTTACACATGCCTGAACACTATGGGCAGCTTAGTGTGGCCAATTCCCCTACATGCACATCTACTCAGCTGATTTTACTTCTTGCAATAAACTTTACTTAAAGCACCTCTTTCCTCCATGCAGTAAACTCCCAAATATATTCACTTGAATTCTTCCTCACTGATGGCAAGGCCTCCTTCACACTGACTGTGCACCCTTACTGACCGAGTGCTTTTAAATCCTTGTATTATTACAGTACAGTTTAACAATCTAATAAATAAATTTTACAATATAAGGAATGTTATTTGCAGGTACTTTTAAAAGAAAAGTGCATTTGAAAAAGAAAAATTTGCCCCCTACACCTGAAACGATTACTTTGTTGTTCTCTTCACAGTTGCTGCCTGATGTGCTGAATATTTCTAACATTTCCAGTTTTTATTTTGGACTCCCAGGAACTGTAGCATTACTTTCTAGACCAAAGCCAATGGGTCATAAGGCAAACATCAAATGGCATTTACTGTATTGCTGCATCACTTGAAAATTAAAATCAGTTTGGAAATGTAGCAGGAAAAAAATTCCTAATCCCTCCAGAAAACTACTTTCCTTCATTCTCCTCCTTTCGTCTACCTGTCTAGTTAGAACATTATGATTTGTATTTGATCGCATCTGTACTGTGTTCCTGGGGCATGTCTGGTATTTTTTAAATCTCACTGTCTGAATTTGCCACCAGGGATCTCTTGTCAGGGAAGCTGATATTTTGGCACCAATGTATAGCATTGAGCACAATGCAGATGTTTCACACACATTGATTAATATTTTAATAGTAAATGATATGCCACAAACATTTTGGTTCTTTAACTTCTGATCTGCTATATTTGCATCGTGACTATGTCTGGTATTAGATACATTTATTTTCACAAGTTTTGGTTAACCCACAGCAGCATGATACCTTTTAATAGTTTTATTGGCCAAAGTATTTTTTTTTTAAATATTGAAGTCTGGCATATCTATTCACCAGGCAAAACATTTCATTCTCCCAACAGCTGCAATAAAATAACCTCCTAACTCTCTAATGCCATTTTGATCACCACTGATTGCTTAAGTAAAGTAAATTATTTAGGAGAGAGAATTGTTTTCTTGTCTCTTTTAATTTAGTAACTTCATTTTCATTTTCTATGTTCTTCAGGGTTGCAAATCTTTACTTCCTGTTCATTGTTGTTCTCAACTGGGTCCCATTAGTGGAAGCATTTCAAAAGGAGATAACCATGCTGCCATTAGTAGTGGTTCTTGCAATTACTGGAATTAAAGATGGAATTGAAGATTACCGTCGCTACAAATTTGACAAGCAAATAAACAACCGAACAACTAAAGTATATGACAAGTAAGTCTGCACATTCCCCTTTCTTCAAATTAACAGACGTTTTGTAGCTCGCAACAGCTTAGGAAAAGTGTCAATATTTGTTCAAGTAATGTTTAGGTGTGTTCTTTTTTAAGGCCACAGAATTTGTTTATCAGGTGCTTACTAACCAGTAATTTTAAACAAAGTCTTCTATGCTGTACTTATGCCTCTGCCAATCATTTACACAGGATTACTCCCCCCTTCAAATATGTGAACTTACTGTTATAGTGCAAGTCTATTTCTACTTCAAAGCTTTGTGGTTTCTTAAGATCATTCTGGACCTTCAAAAAAATGTGATAAGGTTCATGATGTTTAATTATTATTTGGAAACTTGATTTTTAAAGTGGACAGAACCATATAAAGCTGTATGTTTGATTTATAATTCTATAATCTGTTTAAAGGGAAATAAATAGTATTGGTTTCACTTTTGAGTTCTGAAAGTGGTATTGGATTGTCCGAAGTTTTTTTTGTTTACAAGCATCTAAATAAGGTCTTTTAAAATTCCTGAAGTGAATAATGGAGCACATTAGAAAGAAAGGTAGAAGATCAAATCCTGTCATGGAAGATGGTAGAATTTGAATGCAATAAAAATCTGGAATTAACAGTCCAATGGTGATTGTGAAACCATTGTCAGTTGTCAGAAAAACCCTGCCGATTCACTAATGTTGTTTGGAGAAGGAAACTGTTGTCCTTTCTTTAGCTGGCTTCCAGGCCCACAGTAATGTTTTTGACTCGTAACTGCAGTGAGGGATTGGCAGTCAGTGCTGGCCTAGCCAGCAACATCCAAATACAATGAATTTTAAAAAAATGTTACTTTGGATCTGATCCCAGCCATCTGAGCCTATCTGCACTACAATTCCAGAGTGGGGAAAAGGTTTCCTCTTTCACTGGACTCTCAAGATTCATGAACTGTTAACTGTCCTATTGGTTTAATATTTGTACAGTGTCTTTCATTGTATCTTTCTTAAATGAATAGTGTGTGATGTTGCATTTGGATTTTTGGGAGTGAGTGCATGAACAAATAATTCACCTAGTTTTCCCACACAAAAAGCTGCTGTTGGTAACTTTTATATGGCTTGTACTCTAACAGAGGTTTAAAAATACGTACCTGTTCTTAAAAAAAAACACACTGATTACTGACTGAAAGAGAGAGGAATGAAGGTTTTATTTCATCTCTCCTCGGAGATTTGCTTATGGATACCTGGTTGTGTTTCTAGTGAGCTTAATAGAAATACAGATATACAATACATTTGCTAAATCTAACTTCAAGTTTCAATCCCTTCAATTCAGAAAGAGAAATACCAAGAAGTAACAGACCTGCAATGATTTTTAAAGACTGATCTTTCCACTATCTTTATAAGTATCTTTTATCCTGACCTACTTTTAGTCTTTTTGTATCTATTTTCAGCTAATAACTCTGTTACTTTTACTTAAATAACCACAGCAATGTCTATCCCAGTCTATGTAAGTTTAACGGAAGTCTACCATTACCACCTACTAGATAGCATGGACAGGACACAAATGGTTTTGCACTGCATTATTACTCATAAGTACATTTCAGATTATTTTTCCTTGGAAGGTTCTTCATTCACTTCATGTCAAAATTGAAATTTTTGCTTGTTTCTTTTTGCTAATGTTAAAATATTGAGATGCTTTATATATTAAACCTGACAATTTTCTTATATTGATTAAGAATGAGCTGGTGCTAAACTTTGTGGCTTATTTTTATTATTTAAGAATAATGCATACCGAGATCAAGTGGCATTGGAAATTATGTTTAATAAATATTAATCTTGGCTGGACAAATACTGTGTTGTTTACAATGGTAGTAATGGGATTTCTTGGAAATAATTGTCAGTAAACGATGTGTATTTTTAATGGAATCTTGTAGGGTCCTAACCAGTTGTTTAAAACGTCAATCCAGCAGTGTCTGTGAAAGACAGTAAATAGCTCTCAATTGAAGAAAATTCCTTCTTTCTGCAGGCAGGTATCATGCTTCAACACCGCCTCCTTGCCCAAAGACTTTCTATCACTTTGGGCTGAATTGGATCTTCCAAAAATGGTTGGGTTGGATTCAAATTAGAAATTAAAATGCAAAATATACATAATACATCTGTGACTGATGCAAAATAAATTAGTATCATCATAGAATCTGATAAGAACTACATACCAAGTTAGTACCAGTGTAATGGGCATTTCCACCCTTGTTACTTTAGTCATTCAAAAATAGTTAAGACTGCATAATCATAGCATTTAATTCTGTTCTAATGTTTCCTCAATTAAAGGAAGATGATAGCATAGTGATCATTTCACTGGAATAAAAGTCCACAGACCCAGGCTAATACTCTGGCGACATAGGTTCATATTCTACCAAGGCAGTTGGTGAAACTTAAATTCGTTTCTTAAACCTGGAATTGAAAATCTCAGCATCGGTGACCATGAAACCATCTGTTCCATTCAGGGACTGTTTCACGATGAAGAGGATTTAACTGAACTCCAATCCTTAGGCGCACTCATTTCACTCATTGTTTTCTTAGAACATAAGAAATAGGAGCAGGAGTAGGCTATTCAGTGTCTCGAGCCTGCCTTACCATTCAAGAAGATCATGGCTGCTCTGCCTTGGGCCTTAATTCCACTTCCGTGCAAGCTCATCATAGATGTGAACTCACTGATATTTCAAAGAGTCCATCTATATCCTCTTTAAATACTTTCAGTGATCTAGCCTCCATAACTCTCTGGGCTACTCATTCATTACCCTCTTGGAGAAGAAATTCCTTTGTATCTCCATTTTAAATGCCCATTACACTGGTACTAACTTGATATGTAGTTCTTATCAGATTCTGTCAATGAGACTAATTTATTTTGCATCAGTCACAGATGTATTATGTATATTTTGCATTTTAATTTCTAATTTGAATCCAACCCAACCATTTTTGGAAGATACAATTCAGCCCAAAGTGATAGAAAGTCTTTGGGCAAGGAGGCGGTGTCGAAGTATGATACCTGCCTGCAGAAAGAAGGAATTTTCTTCAATTGGGGCGGCATGGTGGCTCAGTGGTTAACACTGCTGCCTCACAGCACCAGGGACCTGGGTTCAATTCCAGCCTCGGGCGACTGTCTGTGTAGAATTTGCACATTCTCCCCATGTCTGCGTGGGTTTCCTCCCACAGACCAAAGATGTGCAGGTTAGGTGGATTGGCCATGCTAAATTGCCCATAGGGATGTGTAGATTAGGTGTGTTATGGGGTGATGGGTCTGGATGGGATGCTCTGAGGCTTGGTGTGAACTTGTTGGGCCGAAGGGCCTGTTTCCACACTGTGGGGATTCTATGATTCTATGAGTGTCCCCTTGTTCTGTAAATGTAGCCCTAAATAAAATTCCTATTCTACCATGTCAAGTCCCCTCAGAATCTTGTATTTTGAATGAGATCACCCTTCATTCCTCTAAATTCTAATGGAAGACCTATTTATACCTAAACAAAAATAGAAATTGCGGTAAAGGCTCAACAGGTTTGATAGCATCTGAGGAGAGAAATCAGAGTTAACATTGCAGGTCAAATGACCCTTCCTCAGAACCTATTTAGCCACTCTCAATATGTCAACCCCTTCATCCCAAGAATCAGCCTTGTGAATTTCTTTCAAACTGCATCCAGTGTCAGTACATCATTTCTTCAATATGGGAACCAAAATTGTACACAGTATTTCATGTGCAGCCTCACCATCACCCTACAAAATCATAACAAGACTTCCCTATCTTTAAACTCCAACCCGCTAGCAATAAAGGCCAAAATTTCATTTGCTTTTTTAGTCACTAGCTTCACCAACATACTAACATTTTGTGTTTCATGCGCAAGAACACCCAAATCCTCTGCGCTGCGCTTTTTTGTTTTGGAGTTTCTCTATTTAAATGACTGTCTGCCTTTTGACTCTCACTTTCCTACATAAAACTGCTAAGTTTTTGTCCATTCACTTAACCTATCTTTATGCTCTTGCAGATTCCTTTTGCCCTCATCACAATATGCCCTACCACCTATTTTGTATTATCACTGTACCCATCTCTAAGTCATTAATATAGAGAGAAAACGTTAAGGCCTTTTGGACTGATCCTTGTGGCACTCCTCTAGTTATATCTTTCCAACCTGAAAAAGACCTATTAATCCAGAGTCTATCTCCTGTGCTTTAACCAATCTTTAAGCCATGCCAATACATTAGCCCCATGACTCAGAAGAAGAGTCCCGACCCGAAACGTCAGCTTTCCTGCTCCTCTGATGCTGCCTATTTTGACTCTGTTTGATTGTGTTAAGCTTTACTAATGTCCTGCTTTTTCTTCCTTAATAATTGATTCCAGCATTGTCCCAACAACAGATGTAAGGTGTACTAGGCCTATAGTTTCCTGCTTTTTGTCTCCCTCCTTATTGAACAAAGGTTTCACATTAGTGGTCTTCCAGTCTGCTGGAACCCTCCCAGAATCCAGTGAGTTTGGGAATATTTCAGTCAATGCCTCCATTATCTCTTACAGTTACCTCTTTTAAAACACTTGGATATGAGCCATCAGGTCCTGGTGACTTGTCTGCCTTTAATCACATTGGTTTGTCAAATACATTGTCCTTTTCCTCCCATTAGCACCTGGCTTTTTTGTTATTCACTAGTGGGACATGAGTATGGGGCTAGCTGGGAATTCCAGGATTCCCGGCAACAGTGAAGGAATGCTGATATATTTCCAAGTCAAGATGGTGAGTAGCTTGGAAGGGAATTTGCAGGTGGTGGTTTTCCAATGTACCTGTTGCCCTTGTACTTCTAGATCGAAGTGGTTGTGGTTTTTGAAGATGCTATTTAAGGATCATTGGTAAATTTCTGCAGTGGGTCTTGTAGATCGTACACGTTGCTGCTACTGAGCATTGATGTTGGAAGGAGTGGTTACTTGTGGATATTTTGCCAATCAAGCAGGCTGCTTTTTTCTGGATGGTGTCAAACTTCTTCATT